TCCCAGACTAAAATCTTATAAAAAACATTTAGAGGTTAATGAAAATTAATATACAAAAAAAAATTCAATCAATTAGAGGGTTAAAGGGAAAACTTATAAAAGAATAGAACTGATTATCACTTATACTTGTCACAAATTTGGTAGTTAGCATGAAAAGGTATACAGCTGTACTTATAGAATCAAATAGTGACTACACAATATATTAATTTTAGTTAGTTGGTTATGTATTTTTTAAATAAAAAAAATTTTTGAATTTACTTACTTGTAGCCAAAGTTAGAGGCAGTTGAATACTTATAACTGCTACTGTAATTTAGAAAAAATAACTGTAGATACAATCAAATCAGTTAAACAAACAGAATTTGATAAAGATTATATTAGTATTTTAAGCGAAGACTCAAGATGATTATAATGAAAATTTAGATAATGAAATAAATAAAAATCAAAAAAGGAATCATAAGAATAGTGATATTAAAAATCAAGATTACAATTAAAATATCAATGGATTAATAATAAATTTCTGTATAATCCTTTAAATTATAGATTAGATTTAAATTAACTAATAGTTTAATAATTCATAATTAGAATATTTTATTATATTAATATACTATTACCACTACATAAATATTTGTTACATAAATATAATAATTAATTAATTAATGAAAATATCATATAAATAATTTAAAATAATCTTTAGAAAAATTATTCCTTATGGATTTTTTATATTGATTTTAGTATTTTTTAGAATTTTATTATTTTTTTTATTAAAGAATCCTCATGGGTGGTGAAGGTTTCTTAGAGTTCCTCATTAATTATATGATTTTTTTAAAATCTTTAGGGATCTTAACTTATCAAAATATTATTAATATAATTAATTGATTATAACATTTTAGGACATATTAATTAATTGATTATAACATCTTAGGACATATTAATTAATTGATTATAACATCCTAAAACATATTAATTAGCTGACTATAATATCCTAGGATATATTAGTCTTATATAAGTAGAATGTCCTAAGAATATTTTACTAGAGATTGTAAATTTATGAGAATATTATACTATAATATTATATAATATTTATATTTTTATCATAGTAATTTATCTTATTTATAATCTTTAACATTTATATAATATTATAATCAAAGTATTTTATAAGGTTTATAATTTATAATATTTATAAATGAAGTAAAATAAGTAAAACAAAAATTATTTTCAAATAATTTTCTTTTTATAATTAAATTAAACTTGTTTATATAGATAAATTATAAAATATGTTATTCCTTTTTTAATCAGCACGCCTGCAATGTATGACAGGTTACGCCGATCTTGTGACAGTTAATTGCGTGACAAATATATCAGCACCTAACCAAAAAAAACTAAGTCAATGAAAACAATAAAAATCGAAACGGTATATCATGTGATACACGCGACAGATAAACATTACGCCTTCCTAATATAGTAATAATCGGCATAACTTGTCACACATTACAGATATGCTTTAATCAATTCTAGATTAAGTAATTCTCGGTCTTTGAAGCGCCACAACGAGCAAGATACTTTCTAAATATGGAAAGATATGTACAATGTAAATCATAAGTATAACACAAAATATATCCGATTGTAGAATAGATCGGAGCTTCAAATCAGTTCGGAGTTCGGCGATTGAATTATAAATGTGTCGAATACTCTTTTTGTAACCATCAATTGTTATTTATAGAATTTTTAATTTCTAATAAGTGAATTCCTGATTTTCAAAGCTTTCCCCCCACATTTTCCCTACCAGTATCAACTATACACAACCAATGAACCCTAGTCAACAGGTCAACTCTGTCGGTGTTACAGGCAACTTCAGCACGGTTAGTCGTCAGTTTACTCACGAAAACCTACAAACTTTACTTGCGGTAAGTTTCAAGGGATGAAACTGTTTAGATCCTCTCTTTTCTTTCACTTTTTTTTGGTTTTTTTTTTTTTTTTATTGTTGGAGCTTGTGTGACTTTACTCTTAGAATATTAAAAAAAAATTGGAAAAAGTAACAATAATAAAAAAATTATAAAGCTTTTTAATTGTATTTTTTTTTTTTTTTTTATTTATTAGTCAACTTCTTAATAAATAAATATTTCGCGTGAATTTAAAAATTTAAATTGTTAAAATATATAAAAATATATTTAAATATATTAATTTTTACTTATGTTATCCTCAGAAAACTAAAGCTATGCAAGCGCGTGGTGATACAGAGGCTAATAACCCTGAACTTGCTCAATCTCTTAATATTTTAAGGGCAATCCAGCAACAGCAACAGAATGTCGTAGCTGTTTCAACTGGCGGTAGTGGTTCGGATAGTACTAATGGAGGTGAGGGTGATGTTGGTAAAACTCCTCCTTCAGTACCTACATCATCCACAGATAACCAAATTCCTCAGAATTCACAAGTACCTCCAACTCCTTTATCTAGTGAACAATTAATGTCTTTGAAATATCAAATTCTGGCGTTTAAATTAATATCGAGGAATCTACCTGTACCACCATTATTACAACAAGCAATGTTTAATCCGAGTCAAGTACAGGGTATATCTTCACAAGATTTAGTAGGATCAATACCAGGAAAAATTGTAGAAGCTTCAAATATTCATCATAATCAGCAAGCATCTCCAACTGCTTCAATATCATCTACAGATATAGTTTCTTCACCACAACCCGCAGGATTAAGTTCATCATATAATTCTTATACAAATCCTCACACATATTTAAAACCTGTTCAATCATATTCACATGCTTCACGTCAGCAAAGAATGCTGATACCAGCCATAATGCCTGTTGGTCTTGATCCTCAAGTAATTGCTGCTGAAAGAGAACGATTTCTTCACGTCTTAAGGCAACAAAAAATAACTGAATTGCAGCGTATTTTGAATGAAAATGTTAAAATCGATGACCATCAAAGAATACGGATCGAGATACAGCTAAAGTCTTTAAAAGTGTTTGATAGACAGCAAATGGTAGGAAATGTTTTGTTGCTTATAATGATATTCTATTTTACAATATTGAAAAAAAATAGTAAATAATTTTATAGATTCGACAAGAAATAATAAAATGTATGAATCGGTCAACTACACTAGCTTCGTCTACCGATCGCGCAGCTTTTAAGAAAATGAAAAGACAATCTATTAGGGATGCAAGATTCACGGATAAACTTGAGAAACAGCAAAGAGAAGATAGACGGCGTAGACAAAAACAAAAGCATTTGGATTACTTGCAAAGTATTATCACTCATCGTTCAGAAATGCAAACATGGCATCGTACATATCAGGGAAAACAACTTAAATTTGGGCGTGCAATTCTGGCGTTTCATTCACAAATTGAGAAAGAGGAACAGAAGAGGATAGAACGTATTTCTAAAGAACGTATTAAAGCCTTAAAAAATGATGATGAAGAGGCTTATCTTAAACTTATTGATGAAGTCAAGGATACAAGAATTACTCACCTTTTAAAACAAACGGATTCATATTTGGACTCTTTAGCTCAAGCTGTTGTTGCGCAACAAAATGATGAATTGCATAGTGATCCAACTGTAAGAGGTGGAATTGAATTGATGGATGAGGATGACGAGGATTCTATGACCATTATTGTGAGTAGTCATTTTAAATACGTCTTTATATTTAGTATGTAGATTAATTATACGTATTAAGAAAATATTACAATTATATTTATTTTATATAACAGAATGGCAAAAAGGTTGATTATTATGCCGTCGCTCATAGAATTAATGAGGAGGTAGAACAACCAACTATGATGAAAGGTGGTACTCTGAAAGAATACCAAGTTAAAGGTCTTCAATGGATGATTTCATTATACAACAATCGTCTGAATGGTATTCTTGCTGATGAAATGGGTCTTGGGAAAACCATACAAACTATTTCACTGGTCACTTACCTCATTGAAAGGAAAAAGCAAAATGGCCCTTTCTTGATCGTTGTTCCTTTATCGTGAGTATAAATCCTTCTCTTTTTAATATATTGTATTTTTTATATTGTTGGTCATGATTAAATATGATTGGTTCTTCCTTATTAGCACTTTGACTAATTGGACCATGGAATTTGAGAAATGGGCTCCTTCTGTGAGAAAATGTGTATATAAGGGAACTCCGAGTATTCGTAAAGAACTTCAACAACAATTCATAAAACATACTAATTTTCAAGTCCTCCTCACAACATATGAATACATTATAAAAGATAAAACAGTATTAAGTAAACCTCGTTGGGTGTATGTCATCATCGATGAAGGTCATCGAATGAAAAATGTAAACTCAAAGTTATCAATAATTTTGACGAATAACTATCAATGCCGATATCGGTTAATTTTAACGGGAACACCTTTACAGGTATGTTTAACATTAATATATCTTAAACATCACAATTAATACTAGGAAATTATGTCTTATTTAATCTTTGTATTTTAAATTATTCAACAGAATAACCTCCCGGAATTGTGGTCACTATTGAATTTCATTTTGCCAAAGATTTTCGATTCTGTAAAGAGTTTTGATGAATGGTTTAATACACCATTCGCTAATACAGGCGGTCAAGATAAAATAGCATTAAATGAAGAAGAGTCATTGCTTATAATAAGACGTTTACACAAGGTTTTAAGGCCATTCCTTTTACGTCGTTTGAAAAAGGATGTTGAATCAGAATTACCTGATAAGGTTGAACGGGTAGTCAAGTGCAAGCTTTCTGCTTTACAAACGAAATTGTATAGCCAAATGAAGAGACATGGTGTATTGTTTGTAAACACCGGTGAAAAAGGGTAAGCTATCTTTTTTTTTTTGTTCGGTTCAGCAGAGAAGTTAAAATTAAATATTTGTTATATTTTAGGAAAACTGGTATTAAAGGCCTTAATAATACAATTATGCAATTGCGTAAAATATGTAACCACCCATTTGTTTTTGATGAAGTCGAAAAAGATGTAAATGGTAGCAATAATAATCATTTATTATACCGAGTATCGGGCAAGTTTGAATTATTAGACAGGATATTACCAAAGTTTTATACGACTAATCATAGGGTAATATAAGTTAACTGTTGCTAAACTTTAATTAATTATTTTACGTTCAAATACCTAATTAGTAGTCAATGTATTTATAATATAATTTAGGTTTTGATATTCTTTCAAATGACTGCTATAATGACTATTATGGAAGATTTTCTTAATTGGCGAGGATTTAAATATCTTCGTCTGGATGGTACTACAAAGGTATAATCATATATAATTATTAAAAAATTTATAATGCCCCTTTTTTATTAACAATTATACTTTTAAAGGCCGAAGATCGTTCAGGTTTACTGCAGAAATTTAACGCGCCGAATTCCGATTATTTTGTATTTTTACTAAGTACACGTGCAGGTGGTTTGGGTTTGAATTTGCAATCAGCAGATACCGTAATCATTTTTGATTCAGATTGGTAAGACTTTTTAACTTTACCTGATTAAGAAAAATTTCTTAATATTTAACTGTTTAAAATTTTCAGGAATCCTCATCAAGATTTGCAAGCTCAAGATCGTGCACATCGTATTGGTCAGACAAAAGAAGTTCGTATTTTACGTCTAATTTCTCAAAAGTCGATCGAGGAACAGATTCTGGCACGCGCACAATATAAACTTGATATCGATGGTAAAGTTATCCAAGCTGGTAAGTTTGATAATAAAAGTACTGCAGAAGAACGGGAAGCATTTTTGGTATGTGCAATATAATAAATCGTAGTAATTTGAAAGCGTCTTTCATAAATTGGAGAAAAAAATTCTTATTTCGTAAACTTTTCATGCATAGCGCTCGCTCATAGAAGGAGAAAATGAAGAAGTAAATGATATAGAAGAGGAGGAAGAACTTGATGATGATGAGCTTAATGATATCATTTCTCGAAATGATGCTGAACTTGCATTATTTAGAAGAATGGATATTCAAAGAGATGCTAGAGAAGAACAAGAGTGGCGTGCATCTGGAGGAAGAGGAAAGCGTCCAGAAAGGTTAATCGAAGAAAGAGAATTACCAATGGTTTACATAAAAGAGTATGACACCGTAATACAACGCGAGGATTCTAATATTGAATATGGTCGTGGGCAAAGACCAAGAGGAGAAGTTCACTATGATGATGGATTAACGGAAGATCAATGGGTCAATGTAATTATTACTTATTGTTACCTTAATCTTTTTAAAGAAAAAATTTTAATTCAATCTATTTTAGGCTATACAGGATGATGATATAGACGTTACTGAAATAATAGCCAAAAAGCAGGCAGCAAAGAAAAAACGTTTAGCGAAGAAGAATCAAAAAACACATACACCAGACTCATTACAAAAGTCTACACATCATCACGAATTTCAACATGTGACTCATTATGATGAATTAAGTGCTGATACATCTGAATCCAAGGAATCCAAGAAGAAAAGAGGGAGACCGCGTAAAGATGAATCACATGTTACAGATGATATAGGCGATTCACAATCTAAATCTTCAAAAAAGAAAGGAAAAGGTAAACGACCAGAGATCGTTGATTACGGCGGTCCTTTAGATCAACCTAAAAATGTAAGTATTATGGTGATGCGCATTTTGGGGGTAAAAAATTTATTTTATACGATTGTATTAAATTCATTCTATTCATTAATAGAAGAAGCGTAAAACAATTAAAAAAGTTCATGATGATGAAAGTATAGTTGAAACACAGATGAAGAGACTCTTTATGCAATGTTATTCCGCTGTTGAAAATCTTACAGATGATTCGGAAGGGTTTGTATATATATTCTATAGCTCTCAAAGTTTTGTATATTTATTTGCTTACTCTTTTTTTTCTATCCATTATTCTTTTGTAAATCCTCAATAGCGAACCTCGTCAACGTGCATATCTATTCTTAATGCTTCCTAGCAAAAAGGATTATCCATATTATTATCAAATAATTATTAAACCTATCGCTATGGACACAATAAAAAAGAGGATCAAAAATAATTATTATAAGACACCAAGGCTATTCCGGGAAGATTGGCATCTGATGTTTAATAATGCAAGAACCTTCAATGAAGAGAATTCACAAATCTATATGGATGCTGACAAGTTGCAGGTATTTATTTAAAAGATTTGGTTTAATTTTTTATCATTTACATATATATTTACATTTATACCTATTAATCATAATTAATAGGAAACGTTTGATTCCAAGTTTGAAGAACTTTTCCCAGGTGGGGAATTTCCAACTGAAGACATGGAATTGTAAGGAAATTTATTTCGAACTTTTTTTATGCCAAGTACGATTATAAGATAGTAGAATTTATCCGGCTTTTTAAGATTGACCAAAAAAAAGAAAAAAAAAAAAAAAAACGCGCAAATATTCTAATGATAATGTTGATTTAGTATAAACTTAATAATTCTAATGTAGTTTTATAAACGGAATAAATTTTTAAAAATCAAGTTGTAATCGAATAGATATATATTTGTTTATTAATTAGTTAATGAACGAAAACAGTAAATAAAGTTAATAATTGTAAAAATCGTAATTTATATATTTCGTAATAATTCCTCGTTTAATTAATATACAAACAATTTCTTTTGAATGTTCTTTGATTATATATAAGTATAATTTGAAAATATCACTTGAAAAAAAAAAAAAATTGTTGACGTTCATTAGGTAAGTTATTAAAGACACTATATAAAAAAAAATAAAATAAATGGGCACTGCCCTCAATTTTTTTTTTTTTTTTTTTTTTTTTTTGCTATTTAAATGTAACATCACAACCTCCATAAATTTTTTCCTCAAAGACCACAACAAATTTATAATTCTACTCTATTATAAACAATATTATCTTTAACTTTTACGAAATCTAATCTAATCGTACCTTCTTTAGTACGAATAAAATGAACACTTCCAAAATCATTCTTGTAAACATTTTTATCTCTAAGGTTACTTACTTTAATAATAATTTTTGAACACAGATAGATTTTATTATTACAAAATTCCACAGAAATTTTTCGAATTTTTTTAGGATATGATAATATTTCTGATACTTTAAAACAGAATGAATCATCTAAGTTGTCATATGATATTGGATTATTATGTGTATAAAGTCCTCCTTCTCCATTGAAATATGATACTTTAATCTTTTTTTCATTTACAGCAGGAAAAAAAAAATGAGTCTAATTATTATATTAAAAAAAATTGAGATGATATTTGATACTTACCCAACACCACCAACTTTTTCCTAAGCCATATGTTTCCATTATTTCGTCTCTAATTACAACATTTATACAATCTCTCCATCTTTTACTTGTCCGTCTTAATTTTGCAAGTTCTTTATAGCTAATTTTCAGTATTATTAATGAGAAAAATACAAATTTATTAAAAGAAAAAGAAAAAAGCAACTGTGTTTATACCTTGTATGATATAATACTTCAAAAAATATTTTGATAAAAAGTTCATTGGGTAGTTGATCAGACATCATAATAAATAGACGAATTATTTGTTCCTTTTTTTTTTTTTTTTAAGGAGCTTCAAAAATGGAGAAATTTGAAGAAATAATTCGTTATTATGTAATCATCCCTACATAGTTTTTAATACGAATCGCACTGATCGGTTTCACAATGGATTTTGGCGTTAAAAAAAAGAGGATTATCAACTTTTTCTCACAATCATGACATTTTACTTCAAATCTATTAAAAAATCTGTTAATTATTTACAATATAGACTATACACTTCAGGTCAAAAAAATTGTAAAATAAAAAAAAATATATATATATTTCTCTTGTTCTGTTCTTTTATTACTTTACTCCCTTTCTAACAGGCCTTCAAAAACTTCATAGACCTTCCGTCACTTCCTATATTTACGCAACTTCTTAAACATGGCGAAACACAACCTATGCAAAAAACCGCAATTGTGGATATAAAATCAAACGCTTCTCGTTCTTATCGAGATCTTGTTTCTGATATATCATCATTTAGAAGTAAATTATTAAAAGAATCTTTTAATCATGATTTAAATGAGAAACGTGTGGCATTTTTATGTCCAAGTGGATATGATTATGTCGTTTCTCAATGGTCAATTTGGTCAGCTGGAGGAATTTCTGTTCCCTTATGTATGTTATAATAAAATCTTTTTTATTTTTTTAAATTATGAAATTAAATTGTTTTTTAATATTTTTGTTATAGGTACAACACATCCGCAATCTGAACTTTTATACGTATTAAAGGATTCGCAAGCATCCACAGTTATTGCACATCCGGACTTTTATGATAAAATAAAAGATGTGGTCAAAGATGCAGGAATAAATAATCTCATGATAGTCGGAGATAAAGGTCAAAGATATAGCGATTATGATGGAATGAATTATAAGGTGTGCGTGTGAAATTCTATCAAATATACACATAAATATTTATTTGGTAAATTTATAATAATTTTTTAACTTAATTAGCCCCCATCCATAATTCCGATGAAAGAATCACGTAGAGCTTTAATTATATATACTAGTGGAACTACAGGTAACTAGTAAGATTGTTATTTAAAATTTTAAATAGTTAATTTTTTTAATTCCACGTGTAATGCATTTTTTATATGTTATAGGAAAGCCGAAAGGAGTGGTATTAACTCATTCCAACATTATGGCTCAAGTTTTACCACTTATTGAAATTTGGAGATGGAGTGATAAAGATAGGATATTACATGTGTTGCCTTTACATCATATGCATGTAGGTCATCTTAAAATTAATTTATTTGGAAATTTTAATGAATTTTCTTAATTAATCCTACATTTTTTCTGAAAACTTTAAATCAGGGAATATTAAATGTGAGCAAAAAAGAAAAAAGTGCTTTTGATTCTAATTTAATTAGCGTTGAAGTTTTATATATCTGTTATATTTGATTGATTAGGCACTTACATGCGCGATTTATGCGGGAGCAACTGTTGAAATGTCACCAAAATTTGACGCAGCCAAAGTATGGGATAGATGGATGAGTCCCGAAAGAAATCTTTCTTTATTCATGGCTGTTCCCACAATTTACTGTAAATTATACATCAAGTGTTTTTCTTCAAATTAATTTGGTAAATTCAAGACCTATTTTAAAATGATACTTCAAATTTAATATCTTTTTAGCAAAATTGATTCAGCATTATAAGAATAATATTCCTGATGAATTAAAACCTAAAGCAACAGAATCTTTTTCACAGTTTAGATTAATGATTTCGGGATCAGCTGCTTTACCTCGTCCAATTAGAAATACTTGGAAAGAAATTAGTGGAGGACAAATACTTTTAGAAAGATATGGAATGAGTGAAATTGGTATGGCATTAAGTCATGAATATGAGGAAAACAAAAGATTTGAGGTAATAAAAAAAAAACATATTTTATATACTGGTTAAATAAAAAAAGTATTAAGTCCGTTAAAATAATTTTTTTAGGGATGTGTTGGGTCTCCTTTACCAGGAGTTCAGATAAGATTAATTTCTGAAGATGGGAAAAATGTTACTAATTTAAATGAGGTACCAGGGGAAATCCAAGTTAAAGGATTAAATGTATTTAAAGAGTAAGTAGAACAAATTTTAATTGAATTGTACGAAAAATCCAAATTCAAAATATTAATTATTTATTAATAGATATTGGAACAAACCCGAAGCTACACAAAAAGAATTTACACAAGATGGATGGTTTAAAACTGGTGATATAGCAATTAGAACTAAAAAAGAAAATGTATTCAAAATACTTGGAAGAAGTAGTGTTGATATTATTAAATCCGGAGGGTATAAAATTTCTGCATTGGAAATTGAAAGAGAACTATTATCACATCCAAATATATTAGACGTTTGTGTTTTAGGAGTCGAAGATTTAGAATGGGGACAAAAGATTGGTGCTATAGTTGTATTACAAAATAAGGTAGATAGATATCAATTTTTTTAAAATGCTTTTCGTTTTTTTCGTTTAACCTTCAATTTTACCAAAAAAAAAAAAAATTTTTTTTTCATAGGAATTGAAGATGGATTTAAAAGTGTTGAAAGAATTTTCCAAGGGTAAATTGGCCAATTATAAAATTCCTAGTTTGTTAAAAGTTATAGAAGGAATACCCAAGAATGCTATGGGGAAAGTAAATAAGAAAGAGTTGGTTAAGTTATTTAAACAATAAAATACGCAAGGTAAAAAAAAATTGGCTTATTACATTGTAAAATAAATTGAGTGTAACTTTTTTCTAAAAAAAAAAGAGAAAATTTTTAAATTATCTATAATTGTCTGTTATTAAAGAGTTCCCGTTTTTGATGAACGTTATTCTCAATATATGTCACCAAGATCCTTATAACATTCATCATATTCATCATTTTCATCATCTTGGCTAATAAATGCATGATTAAAACCACCAAAAACAAATGGAGTGGGGACGACGGTAATAAAATTATTTTTCATCGTTTTACCACAATGTTTACGTTTGTTTATGTGATACTGCTGATCAAGTATAATTGTATTTGGTGGAGGAGGGTTAAATAAAATCATTCTTTTTTCGAAGAAAGTTCCGCTAGAAGGGCTAGAAGGAGGAGGGTTGGGTACAGATTTCAAAATACCGAAAGCATTCAAAAGGTTACTAGTATTTTGATCGGGTGATGTTGATACGAAATCCGATAATGGAGATTGTGGTGATACGCGATTATGCTTTGCAGCTGATTTTTGTCGAGGACGATGGATTTTTGGTTCCTTATGACATGATTTATTTGGAGACTTTGCGAATTCTTCGTCAACATTATCAAGCGTTAAATATGTCTTTTCTAGATTGAGAAAAGGCAATAAACCTTTTGCACGAATTCTCTTTGCAAAAATTTTTTGTAACCTTGAAAAAGGTGGTGTTGTATTGTCATTTTGAAAGGTTGGAAATGATGGGGTGGCAGTAGAAGTTTGGATAAAAGACATTTTGAACTTGGAGATCTTGGATGCCATCCAAGTAAAAATATATATATATATATATATATAATATACCTATATAGATTTATTTATTTATTTTATATTTTATATATTATATTTATTTTGTTTTATGAGTTTTTAACCAAGAAACAAAATAAACGAAAAGAAACACAATTTTTAGCATCATTTTCCACGAGTATTCCTACATTATTTAATTATAATAAATAAAACGTAAATGTAGAAATTAATTTTTATTATTGACAGGATAAAGTTTTAAACAGGAGTACACGTTTATTGTATGCGTAAAGGGATTTTTACTATTCTTTATTGTTTCACTCGAAATTTTTTTTAAATATCATTGTTTCTTGTTTCTAAAAATGAACCACCAATCAAGTTTCGCAGCGACAAAATCTCCTTTTTCAGCAAGAATTGCTTTATACTTGGTATTACGACTTTCTTGTCTTTCAAAAATATCTTTGAATAAGGCAAAAAGTAGTAGTTACCCCTTTTATTCTAATTGTTTTCTTTTTTTTTATCTTTTTTTATTTTTATTTTTTGGAATTAAATTAAAGGGAAAGATATCAATTGACACTTATTGGTACATTTCCTCGATCCTCCCTCCATTCAAAATGGTTTTTGTTCGTGGAACAAGTCAACCATTTAATTTACCGCAAAACCGAGTAGGTAATATCTTTTGCGGGCATGTAACTTTATATACTGCTGATCAGCGTTCCAAATGTCATTAATCATCCATCCCTCGCATACAATCTTCCGATGGTTAATGTAGGATCCCTGGAATTCAAAAAGAAGGTATGTAACGTATATACGGTAATATGTTGGAGAATGTTGTATATTTTAAAGGGGATAATAATATAGTATTGTTGGTATAATATAAATTAATTAAAAAAAGTTCACCATTTCATTAATTTTTAAATTCTGTGTTCATAAAAATACACCTTTTTATCTGTAAACTCTGTATCATTGATATAATTCGAGCATATTCTTAAAATCTAACGATTTAACGTTAATTTACATATAAAAAAATATATGATGGAACCAAATTACTGAACTAGATAGATTCTTTTGGAAATACTTTTGATTCTTTTTTTACTTATTTTTTTTTTTTTAAAAAAAAAGTGTTGATTTAAAAGAAGCAGTTTTATTGATTTAAATGACGCAGCATTATTCTATTTATCATTGATTAATGATGAAGCAGTAGCAAGTTAAATTGAGGAGGCTGTTGAAAAAAAAAAAAGCAACTTGTTCCAATAGATTTGCTTGGAAGGAATTGAGAAAGATATAATGGAAAATGTTTACGAAAATTGAATTTGAATATTAATTGAAAAAATCACAAATAAATAAGCATCTAAAAAAAAAGGTCAACCCTTATGACACTTGATACCTAATAAAACCGAAACAAATTTAAAGTATTTGAAATCATATAATAAAGAAGCCGTTAAATTTTTAAATAAAATAATTGTGATGAAACCATTATCCCTTATTTTAAAATTGCAGAATAAGGAAGATTGCCCTTTTTACGCGAATTTTATTTCGCGGTTAAGTAGATTTTATTATATACTTTTTATAATATTGATGGTTAAAACATTTGAACTAATTTGGATAAAAGTAAAAGAATAATTGATTGATTGATTTTTTTTTAATCATAGTAAGAATTTATTTTTACATAAATAAAGAATAGAAACCTCCGGGAACGTGCCAAATGTGAAAGATTCCGGAATTCTTTTTCCATATGGATGGTTATATCTAAGTATAGGTCAAATAAAAAATCAGCCTTTAAAATAATTCTTTCGCCATTCAACACCAAAAAAAATAAAAATAAAATAGATGTTATTTAAGAAAAGCTCTTCTTTTTTTTTGTTTGTAATTTCATCAACTTTTTAAAAGAAAAACAAGGATTGGAAGACATCTAGAATATGAGGTAGTATTACTTTCTCGATCAAAAAATTTTTTGAACAATTAATTTTTCATATGTCCCCGACTCTGGCTCAAATACGAAAGAAAGCTGTCAGTTTGATCCCGCAATTTAGTTCTACCGCCATCAAAGTAATTAGTAATCTTTGATAATTCTTTTTTTTTTTTTTTAGAATAATAAGAGAGAGAGGAAAAAGGAATACGGATTGCGTCGAAGTGAAAATGTGGAAATGTTAAAGTACTTCTTTATCTGAGTTTTGACAGGAATTATACGAATACGAAGAAAGCCTTTTATACCATGAGATTCACAATGATGAGTTTCTTCAACGTTTCTTGTTTAATTTATTTACTTGACCGCTCACCCACTTTACCATCGCATCCTTATTAGATAAAGTTAAATATTTATTCAATTACACGCGTCTTGTCAGAAAAATTATCATAGTTAGCGACCAGATGCAAAATTTTGCATACCTGATATCACAGACGCTACAAAGTTAAACCTTTAGTACTAACAGACATAGTATATTATTTATACATGTTCGTCATGATAATATAGTTAATGAATTGTTTTATTTTTCTTAACTACTTTGATATTTATATAGTCATTAGTAAATATTTAGATTACAACGTGTCCAATGACCCTTTGAATCAGAAGAAGAGACATTGAAGATGATAGAAACGATGGACTGTCCACAATTTAACTTAATTAACGTTATTAAGTATGAACCGTGTTAATAATATTTTATACTCTTTTGTATGAGGATTGGAATCTTCAACCTTTTAGATTAGGATCATTAAAAAAGGTTGAATATAGGGTAAAAGACTTCATATTCAGTGAAATTAGTGACTTGATAGATTTCGTGTTTAAATGCGTGTATGTCGTTTGGAAGTAGAGGCAGTATTTGAAATTATTATTGCTTTTTTTATAGGTTTGGATATTGATAGGAAGAATCTTTGACAAAAACGGGATATGTAAAAGAGTAAAAAAAAAAAAATTTATTGGAATTAACTTTTATAACCTTTCGTGATTTACTCAGTTATAAGTCCGAATTTTCATATCGGTAATATATTGCACGTATTTATGAATTATTTCACCTATAGACAAAAAATTTAAGTCTACTTTCAGTCAAAAACTAACAAAATCTCTTGATCGTAGTGAAAAAAACAATCCCAAATATTTTAATTGAAGCACTTTGGAAAGTTATTAAACATTTTCCACGACTAGATTATATAATTTCTTCTTGTTATTTTGATAAGTAGGTTGCTCTAATTTAGCAAATTGGATTTGAAGCAAAAAAAAAAAAATAAATATAAAAAAGGTGGAGTAATTTTATCTCATCAAGAAGTCCCGATTATGGCATATATACTTGCTAAAAGAAAGGAACTTTAAAAATTCAACCCGCAATTATTAAATAATATTTGTTCATCCCAAAAGAAATTTCGACGTTTTTTGGACGTCCTTCTTTTCAGGTAAAGACAAGCAGGGGGAATTAACAATATCTTTTTTTTTAAAAAAAAATAAATAAAATAACATTAAACATGAATGAAAAATAAATCAAAAAATACATTCATTCAATGCATTTCTAATTCGCAAATTATCAAACCAATAAGATCTTGTGTGACCTGGTGCGATGAAATCCCGTTGATAATGCAAAGAAAAATCCCGCAGATGATGCAAAAGGATCCGGGCACCACTAACGGTAATTCTGCTAAAGGTTCCAGCCAAGATACCCAGCCGAGACAGTAGATAAGAACCTTCCTCAAAGGAAAGGAAATTCTAAACTCCAACAATTTCTACGTGATCATCATATTCAACAATAACTGCGCTTCAACAGAAAAATTCCGAAAAATTTAAAATTAAAAACGATCACAAGTGTGATTCCTTCTTCCACTAAAGAACCACAAAAACTTTAGAAGATGCCGTTGATGAAGAAAATGCACCCGACCCGCAAGAACTGTCGTGGCTGTACTGCGGCAGTTGATGAATCTGGTATAGTTCCACAATTTCTTTAACGATTGAATGTAAATGTAGTATTCGATTATTACGTTATTCAGCAGTGGTGTTGATACCATCATGATTTACACAAATACTTAAAATAATCTTTTTAATTTTAATTTACCCCTAAATTATAATTATAATTATTATATAATATTCTCCGATAGTGGCTTTTGGTAAATTTACCTTATTTGGTTGATTATCACAACGTTATGTCATATCAACAAATCTCAATTTCATTTAAAGTATTTAAAGTTAACTCGATTCATGCATACATGTATATAAATTCGATTCCTGCGTTTCTGTGCTAATTTGAAAAAAAAACATGCAGGAAGTAACACCACGTTCATCAACAACATCGGTGGATATATCTGCAAGAGGAATAACCGGTCAAGAAGACAATGAAGGCAGTGCAGTTAATTTGAATTATACAAATAACGATTCACACTTGCATGGCCTCCGATCTAATAATGAACAGAATAAGCAGTTTGTTCGAGGAAATAATAGAACTATTAAAATGATATTATTGACTCAATGTTTAGCTGGGTGAGTTATATATGCAGTTTCTTTATTGTTTTAAAAACGGGTTTGAAAATAAAGTTTTGTTTTATAATTTTTCATATTAATTCATTTTTTATTTTTCAATGTAAATTATTTACAAGTCTACAATTTACTTGTAGGTAAAGCAAGGTTTTCATCATCATTATTTCTTAAATGATAACTATTTAAATAGTGATTAAATGAACGTTTATTTTTATTAATTATTTAGGGTCCGTGGAACTGGCATATGGTAAAGTTCTATTAGTTTAATAATTTATCATATCCGTCACTCAAATTGCGGATATTCTCATCGAGCTATTTTTATTTTTTTAGGAACACCATATTTACTCTCTTTGGGCTTATCAAAGTCATTAATGTCTTTAGTATGGCTTGCGGGGCCTTTATCGGGTAATTTATAATCTCATTCCTTTTTTTGTGAAAAAAAAAAAAAATATTTATACAATACATATATATAATCAATAATCAATAATTTATAATATAGGTCTTATAATGCAACCTATAGTTGGATCACTTTCAGATAATTCAAAGTCTAGATTTGGCCGAAGAAGGCCTTTTTTATTAGTCGGTAGTTTTTTAGTAATATGTGCTTTAATATGTATGGGCTGGACTAAAGAAATCGTTGGTTTACTATTTGGATCAGATTCTTCGACGGTAAATTTGAGCCTATTAATTCATGTTGTCAAAAATGATTTTAATATACTGATGTGTATTTTCTTTAAATTAGACAATTTTATTATCAAAGTGGTTGGCTGTTTTTTCGATGTATCTACTTGATTTCGCAATAAATTGTGGTAAGAGTTGTATCCTGTAATCTTTTAAGAGTGAATTTTTATCCTATTTGTTAATAATCTTTCGTTAATATTAAAGTTCAAGCGAGTTGTCGGGCTATCATTGTTGATAGTCTACCACCATCTCAGCAAGAAGAAGGCACAGCCTGGGCTGGTAGAATGGTTGGGATTGGAAGTGTCGTAGGTTATTTTCTGTAGGTGGCAATAATATATATCAGAAAGATTGGTTTTTGATCTCTTTATCTAACACGACTCATAATTATTATGTAGGGGGTTCGTTAATTTAGTCGACATATTCCCTTTCTTTGGTAAAACTCAATTACAAGTCCTATGCGTTCTTGCATCTATAATCTTAATGGCTTCTGATGCATTAACATGTTGGGCTGTTCATGAAAAGATTAACACTGAAAGTACGAGCAGTTCTACAAATGCTTTAAATGCAGCTTATGAGACATTATATTCCATTATGAAAGCTGTTCGTAATCTTCCAAAACCCGTTCAGTTAGTATGTAACGTTCAATTTTTTGCTTGGATTGGTTGGTTTCCGTTTTTATTTTATGCAACCACCTGGGTATCAGAAGTTCATTCTCGTTCCACCAGTGATTTATCCGAGAGTCCTTCTGATGATTCGGTTGGAGAGTCAACGCGTGTTGGTTCCTTTTCCTTATTATTATATTCGCTTGTGAGTTTATCAGCATCTTTCATCTTACCATTTTTGGTCAGTCCTGTCGGAGCAAGCGCGACTGCTGGGACAAAATTTTCATGGAAACAATTATTTCAACTTCCTATTGCATTTCTCACAGTACCAAAATTATGGACAATTTCCCATTTCATTTTTGCATTCTCGATGTTAATAACCTGGTTTGTAACTAGTGATCTTCAAGCAAGTATCGTAATCAGTTTATGTGGAATTTCTTGGGCTATAATTATGTGGGCACCATTTTCAATCTTGGGAGAATATATTTCAAGAGAATCTGGAACTGTTGGACAACGTAATTATGAAGTTGAGGAAAACGATCAATTAATGTATAACCTGGTTGAATCTGGAGTTGTTTTAGAGAGAGGTGATAATGAATCTGATGACGATGATGATGATGTAAAAACATCTAGAAGAATCTCAAATGACGAAACGAGATCAGAGTTACCATTTATAGATTCACATGGTGGTATTTCAACTAATTGTTCGTCAGAAGCGGGTGTATTATTAGGAATTCATAATATGTACATCGTATTACCTCAATTTTTAGTGACATTTATTAGTAGTATAATATTTGCAATATTAGAACCCAGTGATGAGGGTGGGAATGATACAAATTCTACAAGACAACCTCCACATCCACAACCACAATCACATCCACATGACAGGAAATTAAGTGCCGATTCTATTGGTTTCGTGTTAAGATTTGGAGGTTTTATGACTATTTTCGCGGGTATCTTATCCATCAAATTATGGAGGAATAAATAATACATTTTATCTAGTTGAATATACATATTTACATACATATAATTTTTAGACAAAAACGTATAATTTAACAAATTTAGAAATAATTATATATTAAAATCAAAAAATATTATTCTTAAGATCACATATCCTCGGGATCATGTATGAGAATAATTGATTGTTTACATTTTACCAAGAAAAGTTAGGTCGGTCTTCATTTTCTTTCATGGAAATTTTTTTTTGTTTTTTCAATTGTTTATGTCACGATCAATTTCCGTAAAAAATAAAAATTCATTGAGGTTATGAACCGGAAAATAAATATCGTTTTTATAATATTCTTATACGTCTTACAATTGTGGGTAATAAAACAGTTATCTTTTGTGTGCACTGCGGCTGAAATTATTCAATGAGTTTGGCCAGAATTGTATTTGAATTTTCCAGAATCCGGGAATCTCGTTTACATTCTTGTGGTATAAGAAGTTCTGATATGTATCAATCAATTCAGTCACGACTTAATGGTGACTCATTCAATGACTTCGACTTTATCACTGGTCTTTTACTTTTTAACCCTAATCATGTAATACCATACTCGTCCTACCTGTGTTAAATTATTGCAGGTTTTTGTTATGAAAAGTTACATACCTGTAAAATAATTTCCTTTGATTGATCGGGATTCTCCTTTCGCAGCTTATATGCAGCTTATCTGATAAAATTTATGAAAATTTAAGAGAATGGTACAAATGTCAACATTTGATTTTCCGACACTAATATACATGTTTTAAAGGTATATGATGCTAATTGTGTATCCATATTTAATCAACAATATTATAACTACGTTTTTGTCGAATCGATCAAATTGTGAATGAATCGAGATTAGCCCTTCATCTCCTGTTAGGCCAAATCAGGAAATAATTAATTTACAGGAACTTACCAAATATATTGAAACTTTGAACCCGTTTCATGCGAGGTCGGGTACATCCGATTTCCTTGGTTTTTTTTTGATGCGGAAGATTATGTACGTTAGATTTTATTTTGTGATCTCCATTAATGTACTGTAATTCAGTAAATGAAAAAATAAGGAATGAAAGCTTTTTTTTTTTTTCTCGGAAATTTTTTTTTCCAAAAGTCCATATGGAAGAACACATTTATGCCCGTTACGTATAAAAGGTCGGTCGAGTCGAAGGTTCAATTGTGATTATAATATCGATGCAAAACGCAATCCAAGATTGTTCGACCTTTGTTTGGAAAATTTAATAAGGAAACGAGATAAGCAATATATATGTGATTTATTTAATATGTAATGAAAGTTTATGCATGTGGAAATTATTGTCTTACCAATAATAATTCATTGGTTCGCGGAATTATGATAAAATAAAGAAAAAAAAATGACGAATAAAAAGTCTAAATGTTGTGAAAATTTATAAGGAATAAATTCAATGTGTAGTTTAAATTAGAGTACCTTCTTTTTACGTTAATTCCATTCGTGAATGCATTAAAAATTCCACATTGTTCAACAATCATTAATTTTTTCATTGGTGGGTAATAAATGAAGATGTCAAAAAAGGGTAATCTGGGGTAAATCTTTACACATTTTGTTTCTACAATCACTTTACACAATTTGTAATCCAAAGAAATCATTTTTTTATATCGAATAAATTAACATATTATAATAACCGAATTTCAAAAAAGTAAGAAAAATGGGAATAATTTGTTACCTTGCGTTAGAAAGGAAACCTATGAATTTCATTTCATTAATCTAGAGATTTTTTTTTTTTTTTTTTTTCTTTTTTTCTTTTTCTAAGAAATGTACTTTGTTCACCATATATATATATATAAATAAATTATAAAAAGTACTTGTGACTTTCGCCAGGATGTTTAATAGCCGGACGTTGTGAGACATTATGCAGTTTTTTTTTTTTTTTCATCATTAATTGACATTAATGGCCACTTAATTTCTTTTTTCGAAAGAATTTTCGGTTTAACAAATTTATATTATGTTTGTGGTCGGGCACTTTTCAAATTAATACATAAAGGTTCAAATTGACTGTTTCAATCACATCAACCTTCTCTCTTTCCTTTCCTCTCATTCCTAATTTTTTTTTTCTTTCCTTCTTCCCCTACACGATTACCGTAAAATAAAAATTAAAATAAATTTTTTTTTTATTTTCGGTAGACCTTCCTTCTTTTTATTCTCCTCCCTCCCTCTCTCTTTATAATAATAACCTTTTAGAGAAAAAAAAGTTGACCCTTTTTTTTAATTTTTTTTTTTTTATTTCTTTGGATTATCTCGTCTTTCTTTCAACCCAATTAAAAGAAAAACACTAAAAACGATGTATATTAAATCAGCAACTTTGATTTCTTTTATTGTATCCGCTTTCATCGGTTCATCGACCGTAACAGCTCAATCGTTAGGAAAAGGGTTCATTTTCAATTGCGACGATCCAGGTGTAGTTGCATTAACATTTGACGACGGTCCAGGACCTTACACAGAAACATTGCTCGAGCATCTCGATGATGCAGACATTCCCGCCACATTCTTCGTTTTGGGAAGCGCAGCAAAAGCATACCCAGACATATTGAAAAAGACCTTTGAGGCAAAACAGAATCATCAAATCGCTTTACATACCTTTAGTCACGCTAATTTGACTAGTTTGGATGCCGCCTCACAAAAGAAGGAAATCATTGATGCCGCTGAAGCTGTCGAGGATGTCATTGGAAAGTACCCAAATTACATGAGGTGAGATTTGTGACGTCTTTAATTCTGCCTTTTGCTTTTTTCCCTTGTCATTTTTACTTTGTTTCTAACGTGAAAAAACCTTAATTCTTTTTTTTTTTTTTCCATCAGACCGCCTTATGGTGAATGTAGCGAAGGTTGTGGCAAAGTAATGGAAGAAAATGGATTCCTTGTTATCCAATGGAACGCAGATTCAAATGATTGGAGGTACAAAGAAAAATCCGTTGATGAGCGTAGGGCCGTACCTTTACAAAATATCATGAATGAGATCAAGCCAAAAAGTCCAACCAAAGATAATTTCATTGTTTTACAACACGACCCCGATGATATCAGTGTTGAGAACACAGTAAGATACATTCAAGAATTCAGTAAAGCTGGCTATAAATTTATCACGGTCGCCGATTGTTTGAAAAATAAGGTTACCCCCTATAAAGGTGTAGCGGCCAAAACCGCTCAAGCTGTTGCCGTAAATGGAAAGTTTGCTGATGCTAAAACTCCAGATGCTAAAACCCCAGATGCTAAAGCACCAGCTAAAGATCCAGCAGCTAAGCAACCAGCGGCCAAGGATCAACCAAAAACCAAGAATGATAAACCTAAGAAAAATGATAACGGAAATAAAGAAAAGGATGGTGAAAACAAGAGCGCTTTCCCAGCAACGAACGAAAATGTTGGTGCTGAAGCCAATTCTGCTCCAATAATTAAATCATCCGCACTCGTTTCGTTATTGGGTGGTGCCGTTGGTTTATTATATTTGTAAGAAAAAAAAAAAAACCAAAAAAAAAGGAAATAGTTTGACCATTTTTTTTTTTTCTTTATTCTCTCTGCTGCTTTCAAATTAGAGGAACTTAAAATTTTTTTTTTTGCTTTAATTATTATACATAATTGTTTTTAAGAAGATAGACATTTTCTTGTATTTAAATTGTTAGATATTTTTTTTTTTTTTTTGGGTGGAAATGTTACCATCATCACATCATTAATCTCGTTTGTAACTTTACCTTCTTTCGTTAAAACCCACGCGAATTTTCTTTTTGGAGTACATGTATACCATAATTAGTACATATTACTTAGTGTATGAAAATAATAACAAAAAGCCTTTAATAAAACAAATGTACGACAAATTAATTTTTTGTGTCAAATTGGGGTGTAACCTTGTGGCCTTGTTATTGTTTTGCCACGTTTATTGCGCGCAGTTTAATAACGCCCACATAAAACCTAAATTTCATAGTAAAGTCTAAATTAGGACGTAAAGAACCATGGATCCGCCTAGTTTTTTTATGGATATAACCATAGAATCCACAAGTTTTGTTTGTTTTGTTTGTAATGCCTGACACAACGAATGCTCGGATCAGATTGCTATCGAAAGCAAAAATGGACCTAGCATGAGAAAGTCTCGGAACCAATTTGTCATTGTCCCGCGTATGACGTGCAAAATTCGGGTAATTATTCTATACAATACCTTTTCAAATCCATTTTGCGAGCTTATAATGACTATCATTAACAAGACAAAACATAATATGATTTTATTCTAATATTTGCTATAAATCCTTCTTATTTTTTGTAGTATTTTGTATATTCTATTTGCCTTTTTAATTCATTCTATCAGCTTTATATCTGGACTTTATGCAGGTCAAGAAAAGCTATTTATATCTTTTTCTTGCTTTCAATTTTTAACCATTCTTATAAAATAAATAAAGAATTTTTCTGATTATTTAAAGTATTTATAAATGATAATACATAGTTTATAATATATTTATCTATATTGCAACTATTATTTTTTTTTTTTAATTTAATTAATAAATCAAGATTATATTTTGTAATATATTATTAATTCTTTGTAGATCTGACTTTACTATAAGAAATAATCTTTTATTTATTTATTTATTCTTTTTATTCTTTAACTTAAAAGATCTTTTTTCTTATTTGTTTATTTATTATAAAAGATTTTCTAACTTTATTTTAATTGTAAAATCCTTATTCATAAAAATAATTATTTATACTCTTTTCATTAAAATAAATGAAATTTATAAAATTTTTATATAATTACTAAAAATTTATTTTTATTTTTTTTTTTTATCTGTGAATAAGATCATTAAGTTTAAAAGAAAAAGTTTTATAATCAAAATTTTTGTAAATAAAAATTAAATTATAAAATAATATTTTAAAATAATTTATAATTTCATCATTTAATTTACATTAATAATTTTTTATATTATAATTATTAAAACTTTAATTTATAAATATTACCATTTTTTTGAAAATAATTATTATAAATATATTATTTTATTATATTTTATTAATCAATAAAATAGTTTTTTATTATCTTTTTATATTTGTTTAATATTCTGAATTTAATTTTATCTCTTTAATTAATTATTTTTTAATTATTGTATTTCTTATTTTGTTTTTATAAAATATTATCTTATTTATTTCTATTTTCTAATTTTTTATTATTTTGCTTATTTTTTATATAAATTATTTGATTTATTTTTTTAAACATAATTTTCAAATTTTATATTTTAATTTTACATTTCTATTTTTTATATTCGCTTTTTACTTTTTTTTATTTTTATTTCTTAATTTTCAAAAATCTAATATTAATATTTATGTTTCAATTATTTAATAATTTCTTTATCTTCTTTCTTAATTATTTTCTTTTATATTATTAAAATTATATTAATACCTTTTTGTTATTTTTAATAATATTAATTTATATTTTATTTTTCTTTTTATTATTTTTTATTTATATTTTAATTTTTATATTTTATAAGATTTTTTTTTATAATTTATATTATACAAACTTCTTATTGATATTTTTTATATGACTATTTACATAACTTTTTCTGCATATTCATATTTACATTAATTATATTTTAATCTTTTATTCTTTATATTCTTTATTCAATCAATTATTTTTTAATTAAGTAATTTGTTAACCTTTTTTAATTAAATTTTTAGTAAATAATTATTCTTTTTTTCAATTTAATATTATTTATTTATTTATATTTAAATTATATAATTTAAATTATTATTTATTAATTATTTCTTTTGATTAAATGATTTTCCATTTTTTTTTTATATTCTAAGATCTTATAATATTAAAAACAGAAAGTTTATTTTTTAATAATTATATTTAAACAAAAAAAAAAATATTTATAAAGAGTAATAAAAATTAAAGATAAAATTAATAATAAAATAATTGATCCAAATTGATTTAAAAGATAAATAAAAAAAATTATAAAACTGGTATTATTTTTTGAATATTATAAAAATTATTTAAGTTTTGTTATTTTAAAGTTTATAATAAAATCTTTTTTTTTTCTATTTTTATAAGAGATTGATTATATATTTATAATGTTGTTCTGTATTCATTTTTTTGAATTTCAACCACTTGTATTAGGTAAAATAAAAGTAAATACATTGTATCTTACTTATTAAAAGTTTTTTTACTTTCTTTTAAAATTCTTAAACCTCTTGAATAGTTATTTTCTTCTTCTATAATTGTTAAAATATAATTTAATATAATATTGTGATAATTACAAGCAAGTTTTCTGCTTTATTATTATTATTACACCTATTTTCTAAAGATCTATTCAACAAGTTTGATTGAAAGCTATCACTTTTTTAATTTCTTTCATTATAAAAAGATAAAAAAATTCACTGATTTTAGATGATTTTATCAAAGATTTATCATTAAAATCATTTTTATTATGTTTTAAATTGATTTTTATGTAATAAATTTTTGGCATTCGTGATAATAGCAACCCTTTTTGAAGCAGTCAATATTTCAACTGATATCATACATCTCTTAAATTTTGCTTGTACTTCAGGTTGAGATTTTTGAGTATTTATGTTTATCAAAAAATTTTTTTTTGATGCAAAATGCAAAGATTCACACTAGGGATGTTAAACGGTATCAAATGATTTACAAATTTAGAAATTTCTAGGTATAGGAAAGTTTAATCGCTTTTCTATTAATAAGTGTACCTTTTGTTAAAAGTTTGTTATAATAAAAATTTTATGAAAAGGGAAATGAAATTTGTGATCGCGGGACGATAAGTTGGAACTCAGTCCTTAGGACCCGATCCTAAATTTCAAAAAGTCGTAAATATAATGCCAGTAAAATAAATATCTTCGCTAGGACTAAACTATATTGGGACTAGATTAGTAACACGAGAATTAGATTTTATTCTAGAAAGTTCGAAAATGATACTGAATGTTTAGACTTGGGCGAAGAATAAATAAAGATCACAAAAAACAGCCCGTTTACTTTAGCCTTTCATATTATTAATTACAAAAATTTTTTTTTTTTTTTATTTTCTTCTATAAAAAAAAATGAAAATATGTATTTATATATACATATATAGAGATATTTGTACATACCGCGAAAATAATAATAATAGGAAAAATATGAGACAAGGAAGGGGGGAAAAAAAGAAAAAGTCAAAGATAAAAAAAAAGAAAAGGGATATATAAATCTCAAGGAAAAAAAAAAAAGCTATACATGTAAAAAAGGGGGGATGATTTAAAGGAGAATATGAGAAGTTTACACGGTTTTTTCGTTTTTTCTTTTTTTTTTTTTTACAATTTTACATCTATTACACAAAATGAGTTAAACGAAAGAAAAAAAATGACATGACCAGAACTAAAGGAATGTGAAATGTAATTTATGTAAGTAATAAACTAGCAAATCTATAAAAGGACGAATAAAAAGAAAAAAAAAGCAAGTGAATTAATTTACTAGCTGTGTTTATAATAATATATACAAAATGAATGTGACAATGAATTATAAAGATTATTTGATAGCAAGCCAGAAATATCATGATTAATGTTTTACGTGTGTGAATCGGAGAAAATTTCTGTGCTTATTTCTATATGATAAAAAAAAAAATTTTTTTTGTTAAGCGTACAACGGTCTTCATACGCGACATTAAAGTTAGTGAAATTAAAAAATATATATATAGATACCAGGGAAAGAAGGGAGAAAAGAAAAAATTTACTCACAATAATAATCTATCACTCCATTTTTTAACCAAGAAACCCCAATACTTTGGATTTGACTTCAATTTTTGACACCCCAATGATTCATACAATTTCAACTGTTGACGAAATCCTAAATTCGGACTGTAATTTTTTTTTTCCAAATCGTGTGAATATATATATCCTTTTGAAACAAGAAACGAACAGAATACTTACCAGATTATAGGACGTTTGGAAATAACGAATTCGAGCACGGCTTCGAATGTCATTTTGCGAGTTTTCATAATATACGCAATCATAACTAATAAAAATTAATTCGAAAGAAACATGTGAATGAATGCTTTATGTTTGATTAGCCAAACGCTTAATTAACCTTTTTACCTGTTGGGGCTCGAGAAATTCCAGCTTGGCTACAAAACGTAACAGAATTACTTATTAAATAGCTTGGTAAAAACCGAATCAAATACATATTTATTCATTCATTTACCAATGAATTAAGATATTTCCTTTGTCCTCTTGTAAAGCCGAATGAATAAATTTATGCGTATTTTCAAAGTGAACAATTATATTTTGGGAGCCAAAATCACGAATGGGGATTACTTTATATGTATAAGACTTTTTTTTAAAAAAGTTATATTAGAAAAGAATGTTCCTTTATTTTTTTTTAAAAAAAAAAAAAAAAAAAAAAAAATTTGACAAATACCTCTGGATAAGCTGGAGTAATTCCGTCAGAAATGGTAAGGATATGGGTAACGTTATGATCTTCTAACCAAGCTTTATCAGTAGCTGCCATTTGACTGTTCAATAAATCAAAATTTTTCTTTATTATTAACTCTTCTTTATGTTTTATTACCAATGAACTTATTTTATTACATGGTCCACAACTTACGTTCCCAAATAAACTCTAGGAAAAATTTCCGAGGCAAACATCTTTTCTAAATAAGCATTTTGATGCTCGTTCATTTGAAAATTTTCATTTTTCCACGAAGCAACGACACTCCAGCCAGATAAATTTATCAAATTATCTTGAGGTTGTTGTAATGATAAAGAAACGTTAGTTGTGTCTTGATCCGGATTGGAAGAAGATTCTTTGTTGGTTGTTAAAGGAGCGGAAGTGTTTAAAGTTGTATCTGTCAACGTTAAACGATGATGGGCGTTCGGTGAGGTGGTAGTAGAAATATTGGATGTCTCGGTAGCATTTATTAGATTGGTAGTAGAATCAAATGGGGTATTTGATTCACATTCAATCGCAACATGACTTGAAATGATTTCTTGAGAATGCATTTTGATATAAATATTTTATTTATTTTTAATTTTTTTTTTAAAAAAAAGGAAAGAAAAAAAAAAAGCTCAATGAAAGAGAGGCAAATCGTTAAATTATAAACCGCTTTATTCTCAAAGGAAAAAAGGGGGGAGAGGGGAATAATGCTTCTTTCAGCTAAAAAAAAATAAGAAAAAAAAAAAATATTGTGAGAATCAATAATAAGTTTCTTTGAAATGTGTTATTATTTATTTATTTTTTTTTTTTATATGCGTTCACAAAACTGCTAAGTAAGGACTTCTTGTAAAACACCAGTCCTTTTTTAAAAAAAAAAAAATTTTTTTTTTTAAAAAAAAAAAACAAAAAAAAACAAATACTATGAAAATCCTTTCTTTTTGACTCCTATATAATAAGTCGAATACTTTTAATATGGGACAACACGTGGGTTATATGATTTAATTTTATTTCGCCGATCTATTTCCAAATCCAATGAACGAATTATGCAACGTGATATAAAGAAAAATACAATAAAAATAAATTTATCCTTACACATCAAAAAGTTCTTTGTCTTTAAACATTTTCACCTACAAAATCTTGTTATAAATCTTGTTTCTTGATTGGAATTACATGTTATACAAAAGCATATTTGTTTTCATCTTTTTTTTTTTTTTTTAACCTACCAGAATTGTTTGACTTTCAAGGAACTGCTAATCTTAGTGGACACCAATGCAACAACGTGTGACTTTATTTATTTTTATATTCATTACGTTGTGAGTAATCCGTGATACCGATGACACGTACAGTATTTTTACTTTGTACGTTTGCATGATATTTATGTTGACCAATCATGTCCCAAGCTTGCAACAAGAAACCAGGCGCAGCAATTTATGGTCTGACTCGGAAAAACACCAAAGACGAATTGGATTATCACAGTTTTAACAATCATGCCATAAAACTCCAAAAAAGTACATTTATGCAAGGAAAAAAAATAAATTTTTTATTTGTATTACCAAATCTTTTTGAAGATTTTCCGTACCCAGTCTATTTATTAATTTTATTTTTTTGATTATTTCTAAAATTACATTAAAGATTATGTTAAAGAAAAGTTCCCAATAATATTATTATTATTAAAAAAAAAAAAAAAAAAAAAAAAAATATGAATATGAAAAAAAATGCGAAAATGATGATGATTAATAAATGAGATGCTTATGTGATTGGAAAGAAATGATACATGGCTAAAAAGTTAGGGATTTAGCAATGCGTTCATTTATGAATGCGGGATAAAGTTATTGCTTAGATGCTTAGATGATTTTTGATGTGAGTGAAAAAAATTTTGTGGGAATTTTCTAAAACTAGTCTAAAGAATATTTTTAATATTTTGTACAAAAATTCTACCAGTCTATGTTGCGTGTATGTTACAAAAAAATAATGATTGAAAAATGCAAGTTAAAAAAAAAATGTATGTAAAAATGCAAAAGAAAAAAAATAAAACTTTTTTTTTTTTTTTTTTTTTCTCAGAAAAAAAAAAAAAATCCAATGAAATGTTCAGTATCCGTTGATTTTTGATGAGGTGGTTTTGATTAATTGTTTATACTTTTGTTTTAAACCAGCCCCAAATCTTTGTTTGGCACGATATTTACTGGCCATTGAACGAGTAATACCGCGGAAGCTAACCCCAGAAGAATAATCTGAATCTTGACTTTCGCTATCCTCGCCAGACATTCTTAATTCGGTATTACCGGCCTCAATTAAAAATTGATTGAAACTGCTTGTTTGCATCAACTCAAATACTTGATGGGTAACAGGGTCAAGTATGGAAGGGTGATAATTATTATATTGAAAAACATTTGACAACAGGTCATCTCTAGTCGTTGAGACGATATTGATCTCTCTTGGTGAATTTGGCAAGATGAATCTGGTGAGCAACTCGTGAAGTTTTTGCTTGAGAAAATCTAAATGAGCTGGAGTATCGCCGCGTAACGAGGCGTCATCAAAATAATAATTATCGGATGTTATTTCAGCAGCTTCTGACATTAAAAGCACCGGAACCGAGGTGGAATTCGAATTAAAATAATTGTTGGCGTGATATCGATATCTTTTCACTGCCAACCAAAATTCCAGATTCTCCAAACAATAAGTTTGATCCAAGAAGGTTGCGAAATCATCTAATGAATATGGATACGACGTTTCATTGTTGAGTACGTCCACAAGTGTTGGTTTGGTGATATTGTTCGCCAGCGAATTCATCATGTTTTTTTTTTTTTATATATATATATTAGTTTTTTAGGTGTAAAAATATGTGATTATGATTAACTTCTACAAAAGTTTTTTTTTTTATTATTATTATTAATTTTTATGATTGTTTATATTCAGATGTTAATGTTTTAAAACGATTGTAGAAAGTTAGATATTCTTTTTGGAATTTATTTTTAAGAATGTTGAAGTTAGAGATTGAGTTTGAGCCGTATATATATAGTATTTCTGAAAAGGGGTAATTGTTATTGTGTAAATGATCCACTTTTCGGATCTACATCATTCCATCCTAATTAATGTGGTTTAATGTGCCACGATGAAACAAAGATGGACAAATTTGATGCAGAGTTACGACAAAGGAACAATACAAACAACAAAAATTTTCTTTTTCACATTCTGTTCAGTTGGAAACAAAGAAACACTCCTTTTTACCATCGATTACACAAAGCTTATAAATAACTTTTTTATATATCTTTCATACCTATTATTGGTATACCTTTCACATTTGGTTTTCTCCGATATAGCAGGAGAACAAAAATTTGTAGGATGGACCGTTCTTCATTTTAGCAATAATGAAATTTTTTCAAAACGAAAATATCTTTTCTAATAACAAACGTAACAAAGGGTTGACTCGGAAGGTATTGTTCTCATTTGCCACCTTGTAAGACGGGGAGGATGTCTTAATAGTCGGATTTGTGTTTGCGTAACGAAATCGCTGTTAAAAATAAGTACATTTGTAATTGTGTTTCCCTATATATGTATTTTATTAAATTAAATTACTATATCTGTCTCGTCATATCTCGGCACGGCATAATGTGGCAGTGCATTGCTGGAAATAAAAAAAGAACGTTCGATTCATTGAGCCACTCAATCCGGTTAACATCATGCTATAAAACTTTAATCTGTATTTTTCAATAACCGAAACTTATACGGAAATTCCCGCCGCAGTCAACTCTCGCCACTTTTTCATCATTTTATATGATTTCATTAAAGGTTTTATTTATTACATTTGACAAGTTCGGTTAGTGTAATAATGAATGTACAAGCTAAGCTGTCTTGTGGATATCAAAAAATCTATACGTCGTCTATAAACGTCTATAAAACGGGCGAATAAATTATAAAAAACAACATTGATTATTTTCTCTTAAAATTTTATATACAAAGTGTAATATGATTTGGGAATTTTAAGATATAAATGACGCAGGGAATGAAATAAATACAACTCTAGGAGAAATGATAAAATGTTTTAGAAAAAAAAATGAATTCAACCTGATTTCTTTATCTATTTCTTTATCTATTTCTTTATCTATTTTTTTTTTTTGTAATAAATTTAAATTAAGGATTAACTACACGTAATTCCTGTTTATTGGCTACAAATATGCTTTCTCTCACACTTTGTATTTCTCCATCTAATTCAAGGCTAGATTTTGACTCACCATTCGCCCTGGCACCGCTAGTCCCGCTGGTGCCGGCATGATTTTCAATGTCGTTGATTTTCTGTAGATAATTTTCTGGATCATAATGATGAGACATGTTCTCGTCAATGGTAAATCTAACTTTTGGTTTCCCAGATATTATTATACCACTCTCAGAATGTGACGGCGTATGTGTGCCATAGGAACCTATCGTATAAGGTGTCGATGGACCCGTCGAAATCGCCGGTGAAGTTGGATTATTTAATACTTCCGTGGAATCATGCTTCCTGTCATCCTTTCGACACAAGCAGAGGAAAGATGGACGACGTGACCTTTTGATGGTTTTGTTACGTGCCGTTTCTTGAGGGCTGGCAATTGGATTGTCGTTATATGGGACGGCCACCAAATCATCCCCTCTATCACGTCTTCGCTTCTTAATAATTTTATGAATGGTAAATGCAATCACGCCCACAAATAATAACACTCCTATTACTGATAAGGTTATGATATAAGGTAAACATTTTACCGATTTATGACCCTTATTATCATGATTAGGATCCGTTTCGTTCTTCACTGGAGTGACCTCGTCATTGTCCAATGGTAGATCCATCGGAACATAATCGATAAGCCAATCCCAACTTAAAATGTTTAAAATGTAAACGTTTGAATCTGCATCAGCACCGGTTTTACCGAATGCAACGATCATGTTGGCACCAACAAGCGTCGCGGTGTGACCTCTTCGATTTGATGGGGTATTGGTTGTGACGGGGGACGTCCATGTCCATGTGGTCGTATCCAAGACCGCCACATCCCCGTATAAATTCGTATTCGTGATATCCGATCCACCGTAAATTATAATCTTCTTGTTTGCTACCACGGCGGAATGTTGCCCTCTTGAAGCTGGGATTTGTCCGGTCGCAATATTCTTCTCCCAAATGCCTTTCTCCAAATCAAAGGCATAAATTTCACTCATGTCATACAAAATTTCATCGGTGACCCCTCCAATCACGATCATTTTATTGTCAACTATTGATGACGTATGGAATATCCTTGCCCCTGGTGAGTTATCTAATACGGGGTAAGCCTTCCATGAATTTAATGTATTTACATCTAACCCCCATAAATCTGACGTTATCACTCTATCTGGGTTCCCCGTCAATCCATCGATCAGCCCGCCATAAATCCACATCATCCCTGATGGACCGATTGCGGCGGAATGTTCATACCTTCTGCTTGGACTTCCTTGTGGTAATTTTGGATCAGCCCATTGACCATTGGTCGTATCATAAGTCCATAAATTACTCATGACAGCGCTAGCCGGGTCATCTACGCCACCACCGAATATTATAATTTGATCATTATTTAACCCTCCATACACTGCCGAATGTCCTATGGTTTTTGGCGCTCCCGTGCTATCTAATTGAACCCACTCCGGGTTTAAGGTCGAGAATGGTTTTGATACGTCTAACCTTACGAGCTCCGTTATGAAAACATTCCCATCCGTCCTACCCCCAATATAATATATGTTTGAATTTATTAACGTGGCCGAATGCCCCCATCGTACTACTAACTTTGATGTGATTACCGGAAATCCCAATGTGGGATTTATGAAATCAGATATCATTATGGTGGTCGTTAAGATCAACTTTATCAACCTTTTCATCATATTTGTTTTTTTGTATATTTCGGTTTATTAATGTTGTTAAATTTATCTATCTAATCGTTTCGATTAATATGTGGTAAATGATAAATTCAAAAGCGAGAGGATTTGGATGAGGGAAAAAATCCAGTTGGTATAAGGGTTGTTGGTAAAAGATAAACCGAAACGTTCTTTTTCTTTTTGTCGATCTTCACCCCCTGACGTTGGTGAAGTGGCCCCCCAAAAAAAGAAAAAGTCAATGAAAAAAAAAAAAGGAATGAATTTTGTCTTAAAAAAGACAAGTGGAGGAGAAGGAAAAGAGAAGAAGGGAAAATTTTAGAGAACGTAGAAAAAGATTAAAAGACAGAATAAATGTTCATTTTTTTTTTTTCCTTTGAAATAATGAAATATTTATATATATATGCATAATAATTTAACAATATGCACGTTAGTTACTAGATATTGATTGTTTTGTGTAATCAAAATCTCTTTATTTGTCACTCTAAGAAATAAATGAATAAAACATTTTTAACTCCAAGTTTCTAAATATATAATAAAAAGTAAATTTTAATGTAAATGTAAACAAAGGGTGAATGATCCGGTTGAAATTATAAAAATGACTTACATATTTTGAATTTATTAAGTAACTTTGACCCATTATGATTGATTCACATACATCACATATGCCTTACTTTTTTTGGGAAGTTTTAATTAATTCTTGGACCATTTAAAATATTGTGTCATAATTGGTTTTGGATGTGATGTATCTTCATTGTGCATTCACGTTTTAAAAGAATAAGGCGTCATTTTTTTTTTTTTTTTTTTTTTTAAAAAAAAAAAGAGAAAATCCCCAGATAAACTGACCGGACGGATTGTCATCCAACATCATGATAGATATCGATGGGTTGGTACATTTATTTTTATCTCTTTTTTTTTTTTTTTTATTATTATTATTATTATTTGTATTGTGATCAATTCCCTTCCATTTATGTATTAGTTGAAGATACTCCAGTTTATTTATTATTGTTAACCGAGGAAACACAAACCTTGCAAGACTCCATTTCTGAAAGGTCAAAGGTTTTTCTTGACATTCACATTTATTGTTTTTCGTAATCAATAAACGAGCGATAAAAGTCATAAACGTTCATCAACAAGTTTATAACATCAGATGGGAAATGGACCTTTGTTTATTTATTTATTTATTTTTTTGTTTTTCCTAATTGAAGAAACGATTTATGAACGTTCATACAAAGAATGTTCGGGTAACGTTCTACATATTCCTACATGTTGACCTAGCACCACCGGGCGTTGTGATATCGAATTAGTAAGATAATCGCTAGTTACCTAATCCATGACGGAACATCTTTCTATTTTGAAATTCATTGGTATGGACTGCAAATATCCACAAATAGGTTTATTCTCATTGTTATCTTCATAAAAAGATTCGGCAAATTGATAAGCCGATATTTTTCGATTATTATTTTACTTTTACAGTTCCATGCCAAATGGGAGTAACTTTTTAATTACATTTTGATTTATTTTATTTTATTCTATTTTTATTTTTATTTTTATTTTATTTTTATTTATCTTGATGATAGTGATAGGAATAATCTACTATGTGAAAATATGAAAATTAATAAATGATTTAATTGGTCCCATTAGGAAAAAAAAAAAAAAAAAAAAAAAATCTCTTATGTGCCAAAATCAGTTTATCGCGAATCATTATACGATTAAACACTGGTCACAGAAGTTCTTTGTGATATATTTTCAAACGTTAAAAATCAAATTGAACTAGATTTAGTTTGGTAAAACTGAATCAATCATATGGGTAGATATGAAAGTTATCTCATCCATTGAACCCGTCCTAACCTAAACGGGATAAATCTAAACCTTCGTTGGAAATTGATTTCTTCCTGTAACAAAAATCGCTTTGTCACAATTGAGCTTAATATAGTAATTTGGCAATGGACCCAAATTTTAAATCTAAAAAAATTTTAGATGGATGTCCATTGTTCAAGTTTTGCGTTCTTTGTCAAATCGTATGATATTTAAGAAAAAAAGATCAAGAAAAAAGGTTTAGCATATTTATTTTGAGCACATGTTTTTTTTATGTGAAAATTTCCGACAAATTAACGCAAAAAGGAAAAACCTTTTTTTTTTACCCTTAAAATATGAAACCCAAATAAATGAAAGTCGGGATGAAATAAATATCATTACTTAAGCAAGTTTCACGTAATTTATGAAGGAATTGATTGGTCGATTAGAATCCCAACCCGAGGAAACGTCACCCTTTTTTTAAGACTTTCTCATTTCCATCATAGTACTTAATCGTCACGGTAAGATTCTGTAATTTACCCGTATTTGCCTTTTAAAAGGCATCAATACGAGAATCACGCGTCCGAACGGTATTTTAAAGATAATATATTGTCCCCATTATACCTGTACCTTTTATGCATGTAACTTTTGTTCACGTTCTCTAACCTGGAAGCTTTGGTATTACAGGTATACAAGAAAAAAAAAAGAGGTTCATTATCTTAATCTGCGTGAGAAATTTTAAAATGGATATATAAATTCACGTTAAAATTACGCCGGTTGACAGTAGGGATAAAAAAAAAAAAATTTAAAAGCAAAAAGAGAAAAAAAAAAACCCCCACCAACCTTTGACTATCCTTCATTATTATCAATTTTTTTTTTTTTTTTTTTTTTTTTTTTTTGTTTTTGGGTTTCAGTGGTTATTTATACCTGTTATAACTGTAAGAGAAAAACCTATCATGAAGCAGTTTCATGCTTATAAATCTTTTTGTTTGTCAATAAAATTATTATTTTGTTTGACTAACGTCTAACGGAAAAACCTTGCTCTTTTTAATAGGGATATTTCGACTGAACGAACCCCTTCCCTTTCACTTTTATCCTATCCTATCCATATAAAACACCAATTAATCCCGTTCCTTGTACCTATTTCTTTTTTGTTAACTTTGCAGCTAAAAGTCTAACTTTCCTTTTTATCATATATATATATATATATATATTTGTTCATTTATATACGAAACAAAGGAAAGTTTCTTTCAATGGGAATTACCTATTCAGCTAATGGAAGACGTCTCCCTGCATTGAAAGGCAGAAAAGGTTCCAAGAAAGATCATAACCTTCCTGACGAATTGGTTTTCGAAGAAGCAAATTTCGCATGGCAGCATGGTCGTCGCGTCTTGGACGAAACAGATTCCCTCTTTGACCAAGGCAGCGAAGAGGTAAAGGGTTAAAATAGATTGAGCTCAATAAAACGAAATAAAAAGAATCGAAATTTTCTAATAAAGGTCTTTCAAATAATATATTCTCCGCCTTATATAAACTCTGAAAACAACAGACGAGTAATATATACCTCCGGGTATGTAAGATCATTGAAATATGAAAGATTTATGTATGAAAAATAACCATAAAATCAAAAACTTTAGACGCATCAGGTTTTTAAATATATCTTGGGAGGAAACACGAGAACACCTATAACCCCGGAAATGCAGGTAACATGCAAATTTCAATCGGTTCGTTGTTACACCATTCACACTAATTTGGGTTTATACTATTTTCCTAATTTATATCTTATGAAAGGGCTGCTTGCATCTTGGGTAAGTAAATTTCATCAGATCAGGTGAATAAATGAATGAGTGAATGAGTGAATGAATACATTTATTAACTATTATTAATAGCACGGGTCATTTTATTTGGTTGATTGAGATGGCCAAGTAAGAAAGATTACTATCAATCATGTTTTATTATTTATTTATTTTTTTTTTTTAAAAAAAAAAAATTTTAAATTTTCCCACGTGCATTTGTAACAATATCAGCGAACATCAAGGTGTCCGATTTGAAGGGTTTGGTATGATTAACCCCAGTGACCTGACAGAGCTGCCTCCGAACGTGAATTTAACTTCCGGAGATCTCCTCAGTAAGCAAAGCGTCGCAAGTTGCAAAGTATTTGACTAATTACTAAAACGAATTTCATTTATTAAAAAAAAAAAGAGAAACTTCCCTATCCAAATGCAAGTTTCGATTACGTAAACGGTAAGCCACTATTGTTCGATATATATATGTGTGCGCGCGCATACGTAAATACATACATAACACTTTTTTTTTGAATTTTATTAGTCAGATGCCTTTTAACTTTGTTACCGAGCAAGCAGATCCCTTTTGCGCTTTCGGAAATAATCCGAATTTGCAAAACGAATGCACGCATTGAATTTTTGGTAATTTATTTTTAACGTGCTTTTTCAAAGAAAAATTATATTTCTCATATTAAATTACCAAGAGTAGCAGTCGTTTTATTAAAATAGCTCCTCTTCAACTTTTTAGGAAGTGGACATATTTATAAAGTAAGTTCATGGGTACGTGTTTGCCTATTTGGTCGAAAAAGGCGTTAATCCTTCCATTTGCATAAAAAAAGAAATGCAGGTCCATATTATGAAAATTGTTTAGGGAATATCTGGCGTCAAATTTGTAAAGAGAAGGATTACAACCCAATCAATTCAGCTCATCTGACAAATATTTTGTTAAAACGAGGGTTGGTTGAAGTAAATTGTTCAAGATTATCCATACCCCTTGGCGAGTATGGAGGAAAAGTAAATAAGACTAACTTATCATCATCATTCTTTTTTTTTTTAAAAAAAAAATTAAAAATTTTATATATTTATAATATTTTTTCTTGTAGGTTGGTGTTATGAATGCAAAACAATTCATCAATTCTTCCAATGCCATCGCAGCGAATTTAAAGATGACTCACGATGAGATGCAGGAATATCTTCTCGGGTGCGTGGACGAGTTTAATCGACACCAGTCATATCACAATGCCTTCCTAATTTGTGCTAGAAAAGGTTAGCACTAAACAGAAAAAAGAATATAATATAATATATAATAATAATAATAATACAAAAAAAAAAGAAAAAAGAAAAGTAAAAAAAAATTATAAATGATATCACAATATCAATATATATATATATATATGTATGTATGTATATATGTTTTTAATTTTAAATTAACATAATTTTAGCAACAAAAAAAAAAAGAAAAAAAAAATTAAGAATTAATATATGATAAGTGGGCAATGTATAGTGTACAGTATATATATTGTATGGATGGAAAAAAAAAAGAAAAAAAAAAATTTTTTTTTAACCTTATTTATTGCTTTCCTTTATGAAATAAATCAAATAAGGAAATTTTAATTTCTTTCGAGTGATCAGCTCGTTAACTTTAAATGTCTGAAATAATCATTCGCATTACTCTATTTGTTGAACTTACTATCCCACGTGACGGAGACTATGGTGTAACCTTGTGATGAACGCTTTGGCGTTTTAGCTTCTTGTGCAAACATGAACAATGGGATCGGCAACGGATATCTTGCTGAGGCGTCCTCAAAGTGTATAATTCCGATGCATGATTTGTTTTTAGCTTCTCTTTAATAAATCATATACAGTCAACCCTCTCTAAATGCACCCCCTCGGGACCATAGTGAAAATTTTAAAAAATGTGCATTTAAAGAGGGTGTGCATTTAAAGAGAAGATTTCTATATGAATTCTATATGCTTGGGACTGAACGAGAACGTGCATTTAGAGAGAAAATATATAGTGTGTATTTAGAGAGGGTGCATTTAGAGAGGGTTGACTGTACAATATAAAAGCTTATATTTGCAATTAAAATCATTAATCATGCGTATTAATATAAAAAACACTGTCAATTTTTTTACCGAATAAAAACGTGTTTAGTTAAGAACTTTAAAGGAGAACTTTAAAAGATTACTTTGGATATTTAAAATAAAAAGTATCTGAAATGGCAACAAACTGATATATGGAATTTAATGCGTGTAACGTGCGCACAAATTAATTTTTAACATGGGGAATGAGGTCTTAATATTTGAACTTAATAGGCAAACGTCCCAAATGACTCAACTTTATATGTGCGTGCGTGTCAAAACAAGATATCACGCAAGCAAAAAAAATCAAACGATAAGGAAATGATGTGGAAATGATCGGCAAACTCACCTCAAAGGATTTCTCGGGGGATAAACTTTGAAAAAAGAGTTGGAAATCAAAGTCGTCGATACGTCAATCAAACTGAAATTAGTTTATATTCCGACAAACATCATTGTGTTGTGCATAAGGAGGATTTTTGGGATTTTTTCCACAATGATGTCAACGATATTTATTACCTAAACAATTTGTCCCTCTTACCAAATGCCGGTTTTATTTCTTGAAAAGAAATCCCACTCCATGCAGATGTGACCATTATGTAATTTAAATGACGATTTTGTTAAGGTTCAATGACGTCCAAATTGGTTTTTCCATTTCAAAACATGTTGGTCTAGAACATGCATGTTATGTTTTTGGAGTTCCCTAGTTTTTTTTTTCGTCCTATTTTTTTTTATTTTTTTTTTTTTTATATATCGAGTTACAATGCAATCTTTATTATATACCACAGCCTTGAATAGGATTAGCAGTTGTTATCATTGGAGAAAGGATATGATGAAGATGAGAGGCTTGAAAAAAAGATTTTAATTTTCACGATGTTAGACCGAAAAGAACAGAAATCCAATGAGTGAACCTTATTTAAAATTTTTTTTTTTTTAGGAAAAAAAAAAATTAATAATTATCGGTGGGAAAGTTGTACCAATTTTGCTACAATTGAACATTACCTGATTTTTTGATTCTTGGAAAGCACGTGTTCGTCAATATTTGTATGTTACGTGACGAATAATCTTTGTTAAACAATTTACTCAATAAATTTCAAACGTGATTCGTTTTTATTAAAAGAAATCTTCCTCAGATTGTAAAATTTCCTCCCTTTTTACAAGCGTCCCACGTTCAATTATGCACATATAAAACGGATAGGGATTGATATGTGAGCTGAACGTTGTGTATATTTTAAAACCTTTTTAAAGGTTTTGAAAAAACTTTTTGAAAACATCCCCGTTCCACGGAGTTCAAACTTGATTGGTTGAGTGAGAACTTGTTTTGATGCGGTGTCGTGTTACCCGTAAATCTAATCTAACGATAATTAAATGAAAAATTCGAACCGAGAACATTTAATTGCTTGGCATCTTTTTCTTTACAGAAAGAATTCTTTGGCAAAATTATCTGAAATTTACAAAATGAACCCCTAATTCAATCTTAACAATGTTCAAACATGGGTGTTGTACCACACAATATTAAAATGTCATTATAAATTAATCTTTGAATAACGTTACATGAAACGAAAATCTTTGACAGGGTAAAAAATAATCCAAGAAAGTTACAAAGCTAAAATTACCAACGCAAATTTCCCATCGTTGTATTACGAAGAAATGTTCATTGATGAAACATGTGATAACTTGTAATCATTAAATTAAGAAAGGAATTTCACCTTTAATACTCGATTTGATAGTTGTATTCTATTTTTAAATTGAAGCTAGAGTTGATTAGAATAATTTATTGAATAATCAGACGGGAAACATAAAAAACGCGATCTGAATCCTGTAACACAATACCAAGAATTAAGTTGAATGCGGTCTAACCTTATTTTTATTAGTTAAAGGAAACAACAATCTTGTCAATAAATATCATTGGTTTCTTTATTTACCTAAGAAAACCTTATTTATTTTTTACTTTTTTTGTACAGTACAATTAAATAATTTAAATACAACATTACAAAACCACGTTTCTTGTTAGGAGGGGAAGAGAAAATTAAATCGCAAACACACATTTGTATAAATCCCCCGCTTTTGAGGATCATATAAATTGTATTTATTTTTTTCCTTAAAGATCTAAAAAATTTAATAAATACCTAATTTGTTTTTATAAAATCAAATACCCTGTAAAAACATTGTAATTAAACACTATTATTGTTGATGTAAACAAAATATATGAAATCGGTTAGCATTCAAACAAAAGAACATTGATAAACTTCTCACTAACCAAATTTTCATTATTTGTGTAATTTGAGGCTTACATTTAACTTGCTTTTAATTGCATGTTTATTTTGCAGCATTTTGTGATACATATTCGGAGTGTGAAAAATTTTACATTATCGACTGATCGAATAATATATTCTAATTTTTTATTATATTTTTTTTTTTTTTTTCTATTCTTGTTCTCTTAAAAAAAAAAAAAAAATAAAAAAATAAATAAATAATAAAAAAAAAAAAAAAGTATTTAAATATTCTTGAATCTTTCACTTTTTTTTTTTCACTTTTTTTTTTTTTTACCTTTTTTTCATATTTAATAAAGATGGGAATAAATGGTTCATCACTTATGACCAATGCTATGACCGATGTCGAAAAAGACCTCTTATATTCACGGCATCATATCTCAAGAGAACTTTTTAAAGGAAACTTTTCTTCTCCTGTACAAGATGTTCTTAATACGGGATGGAGAGCAAGAGTTCTCCATGTAAAGTTAGTAATGAGACTTTATAACCGAATAGCTTTTTCTTTTTTTTTTTTTGTTTTGCTTATTCACATACATAAACCTGAAATTTTTTGTGGTTAAAGTACGACGTTAGGAACATGGTTAGCTGAAATGAGTGCAGACTTTCCCGGATGCACATATATAGGGGTGAATCCAACAATTCCTTCTCCTCTTCATGAAAATGGACGACCTTTTGATGTTGAATTCGTTGAGGCAAAAATTCATGACGGGCTACCTTATAATGATAATACATTCGATTTTATCTTTATGAGGTTTTGCGCGTGGGATTTTACTGAAAATGAATGGGAAAAGGTTGTAATAAGGGAGTTGGTCAGGTGTTTGAAGCCTGGTGGATGGATTGAGGTACGTTAAATGTCTTTGTGTTGAAAGTCCTTTCAAGGGTGAAAAACATTACTAGAGTAGTCGTGATTTCTTCCTTTCAATTAATTACATTAGTTCATGGATTTCGACATGAACTTTCAAAATCAAGGACCAACGTCGATCAAAATGCTTAATTGTAGTAAGTTCACAGCATATCATTGTAAATTAGATTTAGAAAATTCAAAATAATTTTATTGAAAAATGGTGGGTTTTTATTTTTAGTATATGATTTACAACATATGAGAAATCGGATTAGAAGGCTTACTGATATATGGGAAGAATTTTTAATGACAACAAATCAAATTCAACATGTTCGAAATCGATCGGAATATTTACCAATTGGCCGACATGGTGGAAAGCTTGGCGATGCCGCTTCACAGTTTTTTCACGATTTTATTATTTATCATTTACCACGTTATGCAAGGAATATGGGAATTAGAACTCGAGATATTCCAAATATTGCTAATACATATTGTGAAGAAGCAAACACATGTAGAACTATGGCTCCACTTGTTCGTGTTTTTGGACAAAAAAAATCATAAACTAATAATCAAAAAATACAAAAATTTAAAATGGATGAAAAAAAAAAGTAAAAGTAATTAATTTTTTTTTTTTTCTTTTTTTTTTTTTTTTATAGTTAAACTAATAAAATTTTTTTCCATATAATGACATCCAAAGTTTATTGTTTTGTTATTTCTTAATTCGCATTACCTTCCTTTTTTTTTTGATTCGTTTTATCAGGTTTTATCAGTTTGTGGACTAAACCCCTTTCATATACGGTGGCGCACGTACATTCCAAATAACATTTGTTTTTTGCGAATTTTTTTTTTTAATGTCAAAATGTAGTGCTTATATACACTTGCATTCGTCTGATCGTGCTTGCAGTATTTGTAGTATTTGTGTAAAGGAAAAAAAAAATATCCCTTCCCATATTTGGAATTTGATATTAATCAAAGGGAATAGATGTTTCAGGTTATATGGTATCATCTGGGATGGTTGATCATCCCCATATCGATTATATTAATTTTTTTCTTTAATCATGCGGACTTTTACATATTCTTTATGTTAATAAATACTGAAGATACTTTGATATATTTGTATATAATAATACCATTAGATTTCTTTTTTGCCCCTCTCGTTTTCAATAAAATCTTTTTGTCTACTGTTATCGTCATGAACGCTTTTTCTTGACGATCACGTGTTTCCTTGTACGGTACCTTTTTCTCCTTTGCGAAAAAAATTTTTCGCAAGCTCCTTCTGTTCTTATATAAATTTTTCTTTTTGTTTTGTTTATAAGTTTAATGTGCTGCCCTTCGGGACGTTTGGTTGGTCCGATTCTAGGTCGAAATGAGCTTACTCATAATAAATTTTGACATAATTAAACCAAAAAATCGAGCTGTTCTTTTTTTTTCTAAAAAAAAAAATTAACGACTTTACGAATTTTAAATCAAAAATTAACAAATTGTCCGATGATTTTGGGCCGGAATTTAATGGTTTTCTATACAGATTTAACAGGTTTCTAGGAAATTTGATTTTTTGTATGATGACCAAATGCGTCTGTATGGTCACAATACCATACATGTATGACAGGTATGGTATATCATACTCTTTTTTTTTTTTTTCCTATACGTCAAAAATAGGTCGTCATCCCTAAAATGTTGTAAATAAACTAAAAAATTTTATTTTATAAATTGAATGAAATTTTCCAAAAAGCAAGCACCAAAAAATTGCCAAGATCTTTTTTTTTTTTTAAAGTAAAAAAAGAAAAAGAAAGCAATATAATGAATAAATCTTTTGTTATCGCCTTACTCTTTGTCCTTTTCACTTCAACGTTTGCTTTCCCTTCTGCTGCTTCTCCAAAACTGATCCCTCGACAATTTGACCAATTCGAATTATGTGATGATGAATCATACCCGGTAACGTTTAAAACGTTGTACATAATCCCTAACCCAATAGTACCCGGTGAAAATGTAACGGTTAACATAACAGGAACAACACAAGAGCAGATAGAAAAAGGAGCAAAGTTACAAATTCAGCCACTGGCTTTTGGTTTCCCGATTTCCACTTATAATGCCGATTTTTGTACGGAAGCACAAGTAAATGTATGTCCGGTTCCTCCTGGTAATTTCACTTATTCATTTATAATTCCTACCACTATAACGCAAGATTTTGAAAATTCAAAAGAGTACCAAACGAAAATTACTCGTAAGTATTGAAATAAACTAAAATTATGAAATTATGATTTCGGTACAGTTATTAACCCTTTTTCTTAAAATTCCGTATAGTGATGAATTCAGACGATGAAAAGTTAATTTGTTTAGAAGGTTCAATTAAAATGGCTGATGCTGCATCGACTCAACAGACTCAATAATCTATAAATGACATCATTATATTATTATATATTACATACATTATCATCTTTTGTCAAAATTAAGAAAATTAGAAATTGAAAATCATTATGATTCTGATGATTATTTCGAAATAATTCTTCGAAAAGTAATTAAATTCTTACAACATTATATTGTATGATAATTAACTAAAATATTATTTGTAAAGTTAAATGAATTCATAAAAAAAAAAAAAACTAATTATATAAAAAAAGAGACGTTTATGTTCCATTTCTACAAATTTTTAATGTTATAATTGAATAAAAGTAATTTTCTATTATTTGTTATTTACTGATAATAAAACCGTAACTTACATATTTTTTTATAAGTTTATTTAAAAATTTGTATAAGTTTGTAAAATATTAAAATATTACACTTTTAAATATGCATATTTTATGTTTAAACTAATGTTAATAAGACAAACCTTTACAAATTATTTAAAAATTTGTACTTAAAAATTTGCAAATTGTAATTTATTATTATTAAATTAAAAATACTATTAATTAATTAAAAATAAATTATAATATTCCTCTAAAAATAAGAAACATTTTTTTTTTATTATAAATTTGTTTATTTTTTTTTTGGTATTTAATATATTGCTAAAACTTTAATTTAAAAATTTAAAAATCCTAAAACTTAATACAAATCTTATGATCATAAATCACATTGATTGTTATTATATCATAAAATGTGAATTAGTTTCATTATAATAAGTATTTTAATTATTATAAATATCACAATTATAAATAAGACAATAAAGTATTTTGATTTCAATTATAATATGATAGGATATTAAGTAATAATAAATTTAAATTGAATAACTAAAATCAAAAAAATTAAGCAGTTTGATTCTGATTAAAAAAAACCTTTTTATCTTAAAGCTAAAAAATGGTTTCATAACAAGATTATAAAATAAAGAAAATAAGATATTATAAATTATATAATATTACAAAGTAGAATTCTAAAAATTTTAAAAAAACTGAATATAATTCTTTATGATAAATAAAAATTTTAAAATATCTTATTACTTATTAATTACATTTATAAAAAATATAAATTAATATTATGATAATAAATTAAGTTATCTCAAAAACTTTTTAACAAACTAAAAAGCTATTAGAAAAGTACTAATCAAATAGTTCAAATTAACTAGAATAAATAATTAAATTTTGACTAGTTTTGATATTATTTACAATTAAATTATATTTTTTTGATTCACCTAAATCAATATTGATCGATTCTAATCAGACAAAATAATATAGTATTAATTCAAATATAAATCAATTATAAATAAGCTAAATATATCTCAATTAAGCATTAATTTAAAATATATATTTAATTGTAAATCAACTTTAATTCAAAATATAAATTAAGCTATAAATTAGTTTAAATTGGCTTTAATTCAATCAAAAAAGTATATAAATCAGTTAAATTTAACTTATAATATTTTTTATTTTTATTAATTTTAAATTATTATTAAGTTATTAAATAAAATTTGTATATTATTAGCATTACAAAAAATATAAATAACTCTACAAATATTAAACTAATATAAAAATTGAGATTTGACTAAATTTAAATTTACTAAATAACTTTAATTAGCTTTTGAAAGTTAATTTATTTATTCAAACTAAAATACTAAAATTATTAATTAAAATTAAATAGCAAAATAAGTGGATTTATTTATTATTAATATTACAAAAAATGTAAATTACTTTATAAATATTAAATTATTATTTAATATAATTAAAACTCAACTAAATTTAGATTTGCAAAATAACTTTACTTAGACTTTAAGTTAAATTTATAGAATTAAAATACCAAAATAAATAAAATAAAAAAATAAATTTGTTTATTATTAATGTTAAGAAAAATGTAAATTATTTTTAAATATGAAATTAATATTTGATTAAATTTAAACTTATTAAACAAGTTTAATTAAGCTTAAAAAGTTAATTTATTTGAATTAAAATATTAAAATAGCAAAAAAAATAAATTTAGTTATCATTAGTATTAAAAAAATTTTGATTTTCTTTATAAATATTAAATTAACTTTAATAAAAATTAATATTCAATTAAATTCAAATCTGTTAAATAATTTTATTTAACTTTTACTATATAATTAACTTTTTTTAAAAGGATTTATATAAATAATTATATAATATTTTATATGTATTACTAATCTAAATACTATATATATTATTTGAAGACTACAATGTATATTTCAATATTAATAAAATTTTTGCAATTAGAATATAAAGTTAAATTTGAATGTTTGATCATTAAAATTAAGATTACAAAAATTTTATTATATTAATGAGCTTTACCTTCTAATAAAAAAATATTCAGCTAAAATTTTATAATAGAATAATAAAAATATAAGAAATAGAAAACATAAAGTTAAATTTATATAAAGAAAGGCTAACTTTCTAATTTTTTAGTATTTTAATTTATATTTAAATCCAAATTGACAGAGAAAAAAAATACTTTTTATATTTTAATTTTTAAGTGTAAAATTCTTTAAATCAAAAGCATTTGAAAATAAAAAATTTTTAAAAGATAGTTATTAAAAACTTTTATTATTCAAAAAAAAACTTTCTGCTATTCTTTTTATTAGTGACTGTATAATTTTGATAGTATAGATAAAGCTAATATGATCAAATATATAATTATTTTTTTATCATCATTAGCTTAAATTAAATTATTTAGATTATAGAATTACCCTGTCTAATTTATAATATTACAGTCTAGTTTTGATATAATAAACTTATAATATATTAAACTCTCAACTTATTAAATATTAAATATTATATAAAAATTTGATATATTATATTAAATTAATATGTATATGAGTACATCAAAAACTTTATACTTGTTACTATAGAATTTTTTAACTTAGGTTAACTATGTTTTTAGCTTTTTATTTAAGATTACTAACTGCAATTAAAATATTAGGATCTTACCTTTCTTTTAACTTTATTAAATTTATACACTAAACTTAATAAATCTATCAAGTATAAAAATATGAAGAGTGAGATTACGAATAAATTTAATTAAAAAATTTAAATAATAAATTCATTATAAATAATATGTAGAGATTACTAGAGTTCCAAATGAGTCGAGTCAAATTGAGTTTAAAGATCAACTCTATTCAACACTTTTTTTCAAGTTGAGTCAAGTCAAATTTATTTTATAAAATCTTTCAATTTGATTTGATTCGAGTTATATAAATTTTAAACTCAACTCAATTTGACTCAATTCAATTTTGACTTGAATTTATTCAAATTGAGTCAAGTTCAAATCAAATTATAAGTCAATTTTAAATTTTTATAAACATTTAAATATAAAAAAAAAATCCTCAAAAAATATTTTTAAAGTACATTTACATTAAAGAACTACTTCTAAATTAATAAAAAAATAAAATAAAAAAATAAAAAATAAAAAATAATAAAAAGAAGTAAAAAAAATAAAATAAAAATGAAAAAATCAGGAGAGGTGAAAAAGGAAAAGAAAAAATAAATAAATAAAAAATTAACATTAAGAATAAAAAAAATTAAAATAATAATAATAATAATAAAAAATTAATAAAAAACGAAAAGAATAGTAGAAAGGAAAGGAAAAAAATGAAAAATAAAAAAAAGAACGAAAAAGATAAATAAATATTAAATAAAAAGAAACGAAAATAAAAATAAAAAAAATAAAAAAATGAAATCTGAAATTTACAAAGTGATAAAGCTAAAAACAATAAAAAAAATTCAAAAAAAAAAAAAATAATATTAAAAAAATTAAAAATATATAAAAAAAAATAAAGAACATGATGCAAATAAAAAAAAAAGAAAATCAATGAAAAAAAAATAAAAAAAATAAAAAAATAAAAAATAAAAATTAAAATAATATTAAAAATAAATTAAAAAAATAATAGAAAAAAATAAATTGAAAACAAAAAAAAAAAAATAAAAAAAAAAATAAAATCAAAAAAATTAGGAAAAGGGAAGAAAATAAAAAAAAATTAAAAATTAAAAAAACAATATTGAAAAAAAATTAAAAAAAATAAAAAAAAAATTTTATTTAAAAAACGAAAATATTAGGAAGAGAAAAAAAAATTAAAAATTAAAAAATAATATTGAAAAAAAAATTAATTAAAAACAAAAAATATTAAAATCAAAAAAAATTTAAAATTAAAGGACGAAATCAAAAAAAAATTAAAAAAAAAATAAAAAAATGAAAAGATTGAAGGAAAAGGAGGAAAAAGGAAGGAAAAAAAAAGTAAATGATTTGTCATCATTTTTCTTGAACGATTTTTTTTATCAATCAAATTGAACAATTCAGATTATTATTCTTCTTAAATGATTTTTTTATCATTCAAGTTGAACGATTTGTCATCGTTCTCTTGAATGATTTTTTTTATTGTTCAATTTGAACGATTCATCATCATTCTTCTTGAACAATTTTTTTTATTGTTCAAGTCAAACAATTTCTTATTATTCTTCTTGAATGATTTTTTTATCATTTAAGTCGAATGATTTTTTATCATTTTTCTTAAATGATTTTTTTATCATTTAAGTCGAACGATTTCTCATCATTCTTCTTGAATAATTTGATTTTTTTTATCATTCAAGTTAAACAATTTCTTATTATTCTTCTTAAACAATTTTTTTATCGTTTAAGTTAAACTATTTCTCATCATTCTTCTTGAATGATTTTTTATCATTCAAGTCAAACAATTTCTTATCATTCTTCTTAAATGATTTTTTTATCGTTCAAGTTAAATGATTTTTATTGTTCTTCTTAAATGATTTATTTATCATTCAAGTTGAACAATTTCTTATCATTTTTCTTGAACAATTTTTTTATCGTTCAAGTTAAACGATTTCTTATCATTTTTCTTAAATGATTATTTTTCTATAAGATTGTGATCTTAAAACTGCAGTTTTAAGATCTGGTCCTAGAATCCAGTCCTAGGATTCAAATCCTATAAACTAAA